TACCAGATAATTTCCAGCTAATTTTTTATTATTGCCCTTATTACAGATGTCCCTCATTTCCCACCCTCGTTCACTCCTCTCCTTGACCACACTTTACATCCAAAATTGCTGTGCAAAATCCTCTCCTCCACACAATACAATGACGATAGCCCCAACATGATGAATTAGTTGTAAGGTGTGATCATCAACACTGACCTTCAGTCTTAGTTCTGCCACTGTCTACTTGACATTGGCAGGACATTCAGTTACACCCACATTTTAACTCCTTCACTATAAAGTGAAGGGATTAGAGTGCATCAGGCATCTCTTCTAGCAATCACAACCCCTTCCTGACAACAACTCAATTCTGAGATTCTTTGTTTCACTTTCTAGAATAAAGTTTTTGAGGTTTCTTTACTAAAGAGTATACTTTTCTTCTTTTTCTTGTGTCTCTTAACTTTTCTGATGGTTTTACATATAGTTACTTAAATTAGAGTAAATGCCCCGAAATCTTACTCTTAGTGAGTTGACACTTACAGTTCCTTTACAATAAAAATAGAATAGAACACTAGGATCTTAAAGGTTAGAAGGAACCACACAGGATATCCAGCCCAACCTCCCCCAAAGGGAGAAATCCATCAGAGAGCATCCATAATGGTCTGCTTCCAACTTCTGTTCAAACTTTCCTGGTGAAAGGAGTTTAGAGCTTTGTGGACTTAGCCTGTTCTATTGATAGAAAACACAGTGCTTGACCTATAAAAGGTATTTAAATGTTGTTCAAAAATCTGCTTCTCTGGAACCACCGATTGGTTCTGGTTGTGCCCTCTTAGCATGGCAAAATAGACGTGCCCCTTGACACACTTAAGAGCTATGCAGCCATTCGAATACCACTCCCCTGGCTAATCTCCCCTCCCACCTGTCTCCAGAGCCTTGCCTTTCAGTGCTAAAAAAGCTCAGACATCATTTGTTGTTTTCCACACCTTTTACTATCCAGGTTTCTGTACACTGCGTGAATTTTAGCTTGTTTACATTCTCTTTAAAATGTGATTCCAAGAATATAACAAATAAAATATAAAGTATTCTTATTATTTTTTTCAAGATTTTATTTATTTGTTTTTAGAGAGGAGAAGAGAAGGAGAGAAATATCAGTGTGTGGTTGTCTCTTGCACAACCCCTACCGGAGACCTGGCAAGCAACCCAGGCCTGTGCCCTGACTGGGAATCAAACCTGTGACCCTTTAGTTCACAGGCTGGCACTTTATCCACTGAGCCACACAAGCCAGGGCAAAATACAAAATATTTTAATTAACTCATTGTTTTTGCAGATATATTAAGCCCAATTTAGGAAAAACAAGGAGTCATTGCTTCAATTAAATATGTTTATTGCATGATTCTCTTAGCACCAGAGAGCATTCTGTTTGCTCTTTGCCTTCGAATCTCTATCTCTAGTTAGCAAATACACCCACACCAACCAGTTCTCTGGCTTTTGAAGTGGTGTCGTGGATCCAATGAATCATTGCTTGGTGCCACTATCAGCTTCATACTTGGCTGAATGGTGTGGTGGTCATGTCTTATGTTCTTCGGTTATGTGAGCAGAAGTACATCAAGAGCCCCTCTCTGAGAATCTATGAAATGAAGTCCGTCACAAACAACACTAAGAACTAACATGAAGCAAATCCTTTACCACAGCTGAGAGTACATACGGAGTGACTTTCCCACCTGGGCTATTTTTAGATGTTTTCGCCCCTTCGGAATCAGACCTATGCATTTCTACCTTCCAGATATCATAATGAGCACGGCTTTATCAGATCTTCACCACCAAGTGAAAGTGAGCTGAGGCAAAAGGCTGAGTAATTCAGACAAAACACCTCTTCAGCCTATGGAAGCTTTGATCAGTATTGAAGGCCCAAACCAAAAAGTGGGATGGTGTTACATTAAATCGAGACTAAATCGTGTCTATCCACTACTACTATTACTAACCCCCTGTGTACGGGGTGGGGGGAGGCAGGGAGGAAAGGGGAATTAAGAGGACTTTGCCGGTGGATTGCTGGCCTGCAGTCTCAGTGGACGAGACATGGTGCTGCAGGCCCTGCCCTTCCTTCCCCTCCTCGTCTCACGGGGAGCAGCCTCCAGGGGAAGACCAGGAGGGAGAACGAGCATCTTTCTGTGTTTCACGCCCCTAAACCAAGTCACAGGCGGCCACTCCCTGAGCTCTGGGACTCACTCTGCCTCCCATCAGGTAGAGCGGGGCTGTGCTAACAAAGCTTCCCGCCTGCCTGACTGCCTTTTCAAAAGGTCATGAAATGCGATGAATGTGCTCCTTTCAGACCCCAAATAAGCCCTGGCATCTTCCTGTGAAGACAGAAGAAAGATAAATTTCTGATTCGTGGGGTATGTGTTGACCATCTAATTTAATTCTTTAATTCCCCCCCCCTCCAAACACAGTATTTCTATTTATGCGAAAAATTCTCCCCAAATTCCTTTTAGTGCCTGTTCTTGCAGGGATTGGAAAAGTTTGAGTTTTTTTCTTTTCCCCCTTTGTGTAATAGTATGTACTTTCCTTTCCAGGTTACCAGGAACATTCTTATTCACAAATCAGTTTTTTCCTAAAATCAAGGTTTTTTTGTCTTATTGTAAAACATTTGTCAAAAACTCCTGTCTTAAGACAGTACTGTCATTATTTGAACAAGAAGAGAAAGGAGAAAGCTGAGCCTAAGTTTGCTTTTAATAACACATCTACACAAACTATATAAGTGACAAAGGTATTCTTATAGAGTAAGAGAAAAAAGGCCAATCAATGCGTTGTTACCAGAAACAAAAGTGCTCTGGGCAGAGAAATGAACAAGGAGTCAGAATGTGTGTGTGTGTGTGTGTGTGTGTGTGTGTGTGTGTGTGTGTGAATATGTATTGGTCCTGCTTTGGCTGTTAGCTAGTCCGGATTTCATGGGTGCATCCTACAATCTTACCAACCCTCACTTTCCTTAACTATGAAAGGGAAAATCACTCCTGGTGTCTGTGACTCACAAGATTGTTGATTGATAAAGAGCACTTTGGAAAACCCAAACAACTGTACAATTCTGATGTTTTTAAGGTACTAGATTTGCCTCCTAAATGATGCAGAATGGATAAACGTCTCAGTCTGACATTCTTCTTTGTTTAAAATTATATTTTCCTGAACAAACTTACTGTAAAAAAAAAAGGCTACTCCTACACTCGTGGAATCACAGAACTGAAGTCTATCTAGAAGGGCCTTTAGGATTTATCCTCTTACCAGAGCAGCCAGGGACAACAACAGCAAAAAGATTAAATGTAACGTGACCCCACAGGGCTGCTGTCTACACGCAGGCACGCCTGGTTTTACTGCCCTTCACAGTTGTCCGTGTTTACAAGTTGAAGGCAATACTCTCCACGGGCAGAAGGATTGGCATGGGCTTTATTGGGATACTCGTTTGATCACAGTGATCTGGAACCGAACCGCCCTGTCTCCCACGTGCCTGTCATTTTATTCATCCTTAGAGCCCACGGGACAGGATTCCACCTAGCCACGCTTCCTCTTTTCCAGCCTTCCTGGGCTCACTCACCTTCCCTGACACACACCCCGAGTGAAAGGAAGACCGGAAGCTGAGAGGTCGCCTCTGCCTCGCCCCGCAAACCCGATAAGTGGGCTGGGCATGCGGTGTCATCACGTACTTCGTATAATTTCAAACCCCAAATGTTAAGAGAGCTGTGTCTCTTCAGCATTCCAGGGTCAAAAAAATTATTTGCCGTGAACTTTTCCATGTAGGTGGAACTCAAGACTCTTACTAAACCATTAAAAACTCAAAACTAGGGGCGGGGAAGACGCAATCTGTTAACGAAAGGTCAAGAGTTGGCCAGGTCCAGTCCCGGTGAGAAAGGAAACAGCCTGGGGCGGAGGGAGGGGCGTGCATAGGTCGGACGCGGCAACAAACGGTTCCCGGAAACTTGTGATTGTTCCTAGTTTTGCCCGAGAGCCCTTTATTAACTAAAAAGACTGCAAACCCCAGAGGAGAACAGAGGACTCCGGGGGCACAGGGAGAGGGGCCCGGCGCAGGGCGCGTCGGACTCCTGCCGCACCTCGAAAGTCCCCAAACAGGTGCTCCCGCGAAGGGCACGAGTCCTCCCCTTTAGCCTCAGTCTTGCTAAAATCCCGTATTCCCTTACAATGCAACGAGAAGGAGCGTTTTCGCCCACAAACCAAGGAACACTCACTGAAAATCTCAGTTAGCCGCGGGACGCGGAGCGGTCGCGGGACGCGCGCACAGCGAGGCCGGGAAGCAGAAGGCGCTCGGTGCCCGGCCGCGCCGCAGTCTGGGAGTGGAGGGGGGCTTTGAGGACTCCAGTGGCGGGGACCCGAGCTCGGGAAGGGTGCCAACGGGCAGAGTGGGGACCGCCGCTTCTTGAGGGGGACCGTGACGTGAAGGGATGGGAGCGCCGCTCTGACAAGGTGGGAGTCGCTTTAGCATCTGAGTTAGAGGCGGGTTGGGGACCAGCGCGGGAGGTCAGTGTCGAGCAAGGCGCCGGTCCGTCGGACGAGTTCGGGATCAGGTCGTGGCTCAGCCTGGCTCCCCGCAGATCCGACCCCTTACTGCAGACCACGGGTCTGCCCGAGGAGGGGCCAAGGGTCCCGGTGGAGAGGCCGCGGAACCTGGGCCGCAGAGCCGGGGACAGGTGGCTGAGCGTTTGGGGCCCTAGGGATCTGCGATCTCAGCGACGTCGTCCCCCGGCGCACCCGCAGGCTGAGAGGCCGCGTCGCGTTTGGAGCCGCCGACGGCGCGGGGAAGAGCAGCCCCAGCTCACACGCACCCCCGCGATGACTCGCAGGGCTGGGGGCCCCGAGGCTCGGCCGCAGTCGCGCCGGCTCAGCTCGGGTTGGAGGGCAGGCCGGGGGCGTTTGGTTTGTCTTCCAGGAGCGGATCTCCGAAGGCCGCCCGAATCTTCGGGTCCCGGCGGGAACCGCGCGCGCGCCCCACTGTCTCCTCCCCGGCTCCCCAGCCCGGCCGCTCAGAGCACTCGCGGCTCCGAGCCGAGTTCCCCCTCGTCCCCGATGTCCACCTCGTCCTCCGGCTCCGCCAGCACGAAGGGGCCGGCGGGCAGGCCCAGCCGAGCCTCGGCGGGCGCGGCCGCGGGGCCGCGGGGACTGCGTTCTGGGCTCTCCGGCGCTTCCGTCACTTTGGGCTCGTCCTGACTCTTCCTCAACTGCTTTTTGTGCTTCATCCGCCGGTTCTGGAACCACGTTTTCACCTGATTCCAGGGAGGAAAACATAGAACACGTCATTCCTTCAGCCCCGCAGCTACTGGTCCTAAGATCTGAGCGATTGCCGGGCTTTAGGAAAGTAAACCACAATCCACTGACGAACTGTTCACGAGTGTGACAGTCTCGCCCTGCGTCGAGTCACACCTGCGCTGCTCACACGCTACAGTCTTAGCGTGAACGAGAATCAACCTCAGGCTCCAGAAGCCATTGTCCCCCGTAACGATGGGGATCAAAGTAGCGTGGTTAGTAAATACTGGCCCTGTTATTCATTAGAATTACTAATAGTAAGTGCCGCGTGGGCGTCTCCCTTATGTTCGACATAATTTAGCTCCTCTGGCTGCGGCGTCTGCCTGCCTGTCCCGCAGGACTCCTGGAGGGCAGATGGGGACCAGACCTGCTGCTTCTCCTCAGAGAAGATCCCTGGGGCCCAGCAGGGCACAGGGTTTCACAGCAAGTGGGTGCCCACTGCAGAGAGGGAGTGGAGAAAGGACTTTGGAGGTGGCACAGCATCTGGAGGAAGACAAACGGGTCTTCCACTCAGGACAGGGCAATAAGGAGAAGCTTAAATTATGATGCGTTTGGGGGGAGGGGACGATGTAGGTATGAAGACTTGCAGCTTTGAAAGAATAAAATAGAAAAAAAAAAACCCGACAAGCTCCTTGCGTGGGCTTCTCTCGGGACAAGACCCCATCTGCTCTCATTCTGGGCCTGATACGGGTTGTGCCCCGAGGAAGGGAAGTGGGGACGCCGCGGACGCGGCAGCCCTTCCACGGGGAGCCAGGGCCAGCATCACCCGGGGGTTTCCTCCACGTCCGGAGGCCGCCGGAGGTTTCGCTTTGGTTAGTCTGACATGAGCTGGAAGTGGCCGCACTTGGCTAAGGATTTTTGGAGACACCTCGAATCAAGGGGATTGGGGTCATTCAAGATCTCTGCCTGGGCGCAGCAGGGGGCAGGAGCTGAGCCGAGAGGAGCCAGAGCAGCGATCGGAGGCCCCCTGGGGTCGGCCCACCTGCGTCTCGGACAGGCTGAGGGCCGTGGCCAGCTCCACCCGCTCCGGCGTGGACAGGTAGCGCTGGATCTCGAATCTCTTTTCCAGGCCAGACAGCTGCGAGTCCGAGAAGACGGTGCGCGCCTTGCGGCGGCGGCAATGCTTCCCCGGGAGCTCCGCGTGCGGGGCGTGCGGGAACAGCGCGGGGACCGGCACCCCTGCGGAGAGAAAAGCAGCAGCGTGGGCAGAGCCCCACCGCGTGCCGGCAGCTCCTGCTCCACTACCCTCCTCTGTTCCCCGCGCCCCCCTCAGCTTTCCTTGGCCACCAGCCCCTCCTTGCCCCAGAGCCTCCGGAGCCCTTCTGCCAGGACTTGCAGGACATGGGGGTCGCAAGAATACAGCGTGTAGATCTTTAGCTGGAAGCCATCTAGAAATGCAAACAAAAATCGGTAGGAAGAACTGAAAAAGAAAAATATAAGCTGGTGAGGATTGGGAGAAAGACAAACCCTTTTGCACTTTTCTGGGGGAATACAGCCTGGTGCAGCCACTGTGGAAAGCAGAATGCAGACACCTCAAAAAATTAAAAATGGAACTACCTTCTGACCCACCAATCCCACTTCTGGAAATATATCTGAAGGAACCCAAAACACTAATTCAAAAGAACATAAGCCCCCTCTGTTCATCGCAGCGTTATTTACAGTCACCAAGGTATGGAAGCAGCCCAAGTGCCCATCTATACGGGAGTGGATAGAACAAGTTTCAGACATTTACACAATGAAATTCTACTCAGCTGTAAAAAAGAAGATTTTACCCGTTGCAACAGTATGGATGGACCTGGAGAATATTTTGCTAAATGAAATAAGCCAGAGAAAGAAAAATGCCATATGATTTCACTCATATATGGAATCTAATGAACAGACTGAACTAACGAGCAAAACAGAGATGGATTCATGACAGAGAGCAGGCCGACAGCCGTGGGGGTGGGGGAGGGAGGTCAGGGGTGGAGGGATGGAGCAAAAAGGCACAAGGACTCACGGACATGGACAACAGGGTGGTGATTGCTGGGGGGAGGAGGGTATATGGGTACTAGATGGTAATGGGAACAATACAATAAAGATTAATTTTTTAAAGAAAATTATAAAATAAATGCGGAGGACTTTTCAAAATATCTTCCTGGAGAAACTTTTGAAGCATCTTCCAGCATCCAGCCTCCTGAAGTTTTCTTGCCAATGTCACATGGTCCAGGAGCTGTCTCCTCGCACCCCCCACCCTGTCCCACCAGCTTTCCAGACCCCTGGTCTTCTGGCGACACAAGGGTTCTGAGGCCAGGAGAATGGTGGACGAAGATCTTGCCTCCCAAACTCAGTAAAAACCACCTTTCTCTTTCCCCAGCCGCCCCCATTTTCCCACCTGCAGCCCAAGGGAACAGGTCAAAACTCTCATCCAGGAAGTCCTGGGAGCGAGGACAGAGGGGCAAGCCTACCCCGGCACGTCTTCTTAATCAGATTGTGGGGAATGTTGGGGACTCGGCTGTCTAATCTGCTCACTGGTTTTCTCTTTCTTGCCCAATGACCTCAAACAGGACCGAAGCGCTTTTCCTTTGTGGATCGAGGGCCCGGAAGACTGTTAAACAACAAAATCTTCCCCACCTTCGCAGGCTTCGCTGCGGCGGAGAGGCGCCCAGGAGGCAAACTGCCAGAGATAGCAATACCGGCCAATTCGGGAGTCCCCGTGTGGGGGTCCCTGGCCACTGCTATTCGAGGGGAACATAGGAGAGGCTGGCCAGTGCTGAGGCCAAAACAGAAATTCGGGCTTCGATGCAGGCTTTGTTATTGCCCTTCCAGCCCAGCCTCCCAAGGTCTGCGGTTTCCCGCGTCCCAAGCACGTTTAGCTTGTGTGTTGAGCTCCAGTGCCCGCACTTCACAGGGTGTCTCCCGTCTTTCCTTCCTAGCCCTTGCTGGGACCGGGGTTGTTTTTCTGGTTGCCCTCCGCACTTGAACTCAACGAATTCTGTTCCCACTGGAATGAAAATGCTGGAGAGGAAAGTGTGAACGTGACCTTTCACAGAGAGAGGCGGTGTAGATTTGAGTGTTCCCCGACATCTCTCCAGTTGCACCGACTGGACTCTCACTCCTTGCCACATCTAGCAAAGCAAAGTACTTGGGTGTGAGGCTCCATTGACGCCAGCAACCGGGGCAGGGAGGGAAGCCCAGCCTCAGATCGTGAGTTAAGGACTAGAGGTTGGGAGTAAAGGGGGTTAAAGAGGAGCCGCGTCCCTCCCTCTGTTTTTTCTAACCCTTTCTCCCTTATTCCAGCGAACCCAAACCTTGGGTCCTCAGAATACCCCAAACTCTCTTTCACTTCTAAGCCTCCGCAGTGTGGGTGGTGAATGCTCAGCACCCAAGAGGAGAGACCGCCCCCCACCCCGGAGTCTTCTGAGCTTCCCCGAATTGCAAAGTTGATACTGTTCTGTGGGGTGGAGTGGCCAGGGCCGGCAGAGACAGAGGATTGGGGCTGACAGCTGGGCCAGGAGGACCACAAGGAAGGAGAGAGACTACGCGGGGCCCACCAAGAATATTGTCAAAACCTCCGGCCACCTCTTGGCTAGGCGCGTTTCCTGCACTGTAAAAAGTACGGTGACCACGAGTCAGCCCCACGGGTTGGCATGCCTGGGGGGAGCTCTGCGTGTTCTCTCCCACATCCCGTGTCCCACCTCCTACTGTTGCTCAGGGAAGGCGGCGACCAGCCCGCTGCACCAGCTCTGGCCTTGTCCAGGCTCCATCACAGGTGTAGGGCCTGCGTGGAGGAACTGCTCTGTCACTCCCTATGCCTTGAAGCCCCTGTTTACTTACCTGAAGTGGTGAGGAAGTAAGGGTGGTGGTGGTCTCCCTTATGCAGAGGGTGATGGGGATGAGGAGCCAGGAGGGTGGGTGTGGGCATGAGGGGGTAGCCATAGTCTAGCAGAGGCACCCGGGAAGCAAGAGAGCTGGCAAAATGGTCGGGGGCCACCTCCCTTAGTGGCTTGGGCTTGTGCAGCAGGATGTCCTCAATGAAGAAGGACGTGGGCCTCTGAGAAGATGCCGGGTGTAGAGGGGAGGTGAAGTTGAGATTCATCGTGGGCCGAGCGCCTGACACGGGGCGAGAGCCGAAGAAGAGGTCTAGGAAGCAGGCAGCGTCTCCGCAAGCCTGTAGAGAGGCGAGAGTCCAGGGCCGACCACCACCCAGCGAGGCTCGGGTCCCCGCGGCTCTCTCCCCGGCCTGGGCTACCCCGGGCACAGGAAAGGCGAGAAGACTATCTCCGGGGTAGGTTGGGTCTATGTGGAGGAGAATTGGCAGCTTGGAGAGGGGAGCCGGGAGAGCCAATGGCAAGGCTGCCAGCAGCGGAGGGGAGGGTACCTTGGGCCGGGGCGGGGCGGGGAGCTGTCCGCGGTGCTGAATTCAACCGGCCAGGCCGGGGAGAGCGGAGGGGACCAGGTTCTTGCTCCCCAGGATTCTGGACCTCCATTGCAGGGGCTGCTTGGCTTCCAGTTGTTTTTAAAGCAAACAAGCAACAACAACAACAACAACAAAAGTCTCTGTCCTCTGACAAACTCCTCTTTCGAGAGCAGAAGGCACTTAAAGGGCCCAAAGCAGCAGGGATAAGGCACTTACTTTGGCAGAGGTCTGGGCTTTAAAACTTTGGGAAAATGGTAGCAGAGGAGAAACGGGAAAAATCAGGAGAAAGGGCGTCCACGTCTGCCAGACTGAGCTTAAACGGATGGCTGAGGAATGACTAGATTGTTGAGGTAGACAAGTAAAATGATGCTCACGACATTCTTCACCTCAGTTATAGAGGGTGGTGTGAGGGAAGTGATACCTACATTAGTCAAGTAATGGGGTCTGTGTAAATATGCCCGGGGCCGCCTCTTAATGCCAGTCTCCACCTCCTCTCAAATGTCCATTGCCCCTCCTCCTCCCACTCACAGGGCTTACCGCTTCTGCTGTGATACCCTTTTCCACCCCACCCCTCACATATTGTCTCCCATTCCCTTTTCCAGCCTTTCCTTTCACTTCACTCCCTTCCAACCTTTCTCCCCCCCCCATTTGTCTTTTTCTAATCTGTCACATTTATTTCCCTCGAGTCAATTTGCTAAAATTAAGGTGATCATCTACAGCACAGCAGGGTAACTTTGGCTTGCATCTCCAAAAATTGCTCTAATTATTGGTGTTAAACTCAGGGAAATTAAAAGAAGCCACTTCTCTTCCATCTCCCCATTTTTAAGCTCTAATTTGTTGAAATCTAGTTGTCATCACAATTCCAATCACTCCTGCTAATAGTAAAAGTGTTTTAATAGAGACTGAGTCCTCACAACCCATGCTATTAGATAATTAGAGGAGGTGTTAGAAAGCCAAGTGCTAATCCTTGGGCACATGGGTAGAATTTTCATCTGATCTAGCAGGTAAAACAAATTAATTACCAGAATCAATTAGGCCCCAAACTGCAGTGCTGCAGGAAGTGAGAGCACTGTATTCCATATGGATGACCTGGTAAAAATGGTAAACAGACAAGGAGAGTGAGAGGAAGGAGGAAGAAGGGAAAATACCTTTAAAAAAAGATCTTGGCAAGTAGGCATATAAACAAAGTCAGAATGCTTTGTCCTGGAGCCTGAAATGTAGTTTTTGTTTTAAGATTATAATGGTAAAAGCTGAAGACCTAGAGCGGGCCCTTGAGGGGGGGCCATGGAGAGAGAAGATGGTAGACTTCAAGGAGTCGTTCCTTAGTCCTTAGCCCTGGTGAAGAGGCCCGGGACGTCGTCCACACTGTACTGCATCCACCGCCTCCCAGTGAGAGCTCCCCGCGAGTGGAAACCAAGCTGTCCTGTCTCCTTAGATCCCAAAGGCTGAGTGGCAATTGAGGACGTGGCGGGCACACAGCCAGACACTGGCCTCAGCAAAGAACCCTGCTGCGTCTGCTCACCCCCCTTCTCTGACCGTACATGAATGGGGAGCAGACTTGTGCTCAGCCTTAGGGAAGGGATTTCAACTTCACTATGGGGTGCGGCTAACTTCTGTCTCAGAAATTGGAATGAAAAGATTATTGAATGTCTCTTTGGGAACAGAGTCAGTAAAAGCTGTTTTGGGTGACTGTTACCTTTGCCCCAAGGTACTCCAAGCCCTTTCTCAGGATTTAGCTTTAAGCAGTTCTCGGTGTTGGCAGGATCTGAGGAGGGAAGGGAAGGGAAGGGGTGGGTAGACTGCCTGCTGGGTCCTAACCCTTCCCCCTTATTTCATAGACCCTGGACTCAGCTCCTCATTCTCTCCCAAAGCTAAGTCTATTTTCAGGGCCCTGCTGCCTAGGTGCAGGGGAGGAGTCCAGCCCCTCATGCTCTCCTTTCTCAGTTCCGCCTGTTCTAGGATTCGCCCACCTGCTTTCATAGCCCAGAGTGGCCCACTCACTAGGAAACTAAGAAGTGAGAAATGGAGAGAGAAAACTGGGTAGCTATGGGAAGGGGCAGGACCTTGGGGACTGCAGAAGTTTTACCTCCCCTTTCAGGGATGCTGGGGAACAACGTTGCAAGGCTGAGAAAGTAGATGCCACCAGCACCAAAGCAGGTCCCTGGGGCAAGAGAGGTGAGAATGGGGGATCCAAAGTGGAGGCAGAGACAGGGATTCCTCAGTTGCCACAGCTGGTACCCTGTTCTCCCTGGGAATTCAGTAATCACATCTGGGGCCTGCCGTGGGACTGTGCCCAGCACTTGAATGGATAGACTGTGCAGGGAGGTCTTGTCCTGGAAAAGTTCCTATGGGGTCACACTTCATTTTCCTCTTAGGCTACTGCCCAGGACCCAGACCCTCAGGGAAAATCCAGAGATCAAAAAGCGGGAAGTGTCTCCACATGGTATGACCATGGGAAGCTCTTTTGTCACCAGAACCCAGCCCCTGCCTTCCCACCAAGGCTCAGGCCTGGCCTGTCCGTACTTCCGAGATGGGTGCCTCCAGCCCCCTTTGGAGACTCAGTTGCTGTTTGTCCCAGGGGTTGGAGGAAGAAGCATTCCAGAGCCCACAGGCCTCCCTCTGCCCCTCCCCGCCCCGCCAGGCCCTCAGGGCCATTCTGGGTAAGAGGTAAATGTTATACTTGTAGATAGCTTGTAAACAATTTGCCCCTTAAAAGCAGAAATGTTTCATCACTTGGATTATCTGTAAAGCCTAGACCAGCACTGTCTAATAAAAATATAAGAGCCACACAGGTAATTTTATACTTTCTACTAGTCGCATTTAAAAAGTAAGAGGAAACAGGTGAAATATTAATGTTTCACTTAACCCCAATATGTTAAATATTATTTAACAGGTAATCAATATAAATATTATTAATGGGATATTTTTGCATTCTTTTTAATACTAAGTCTCCCAAATCCAGTGTGTACTGTACACTTTCTGCACATATCCATTCAGACTGACTGTATGTCACGTGATCAGTAGCCACACACGGCTTGTGGTTCCCTACTAGACAGCTAGTTAATATGACTAGTTAACTGCAATAATCTCTTTTGCCCTTCTTCAGTGCAGATAGACATACGCAGAGAAAATGGAAAGCAGTTTCAGAAGTCAGCCCAGCACATTCTCGAAGCTTGCCCTTCACCCATGCATTGTATCTGATGATCGTGAGCCTTCACCGAGCGTTTATTGCACTTCAGGCTTCTCACTACACATCTTCCCGACCTTAGGAGATTTAGTAAATGCACTCGCATCACATTTATTTTCAATTCTCACTTGGCTAAAATATGTCACCAGAAGTAACAGGTTGTAGCTGACACATAAAACCAGATCCTGAACACTTCCCTGAACAAAACAACCAACCAAACAAATAAACAAACAAAAAGATCAAATGAATCCTCTCCTCCTCAGTCTGCAAGACATCATACAGCTCCTAGTTATGGTTTCAGCAGAAGAATTATTAATTTAAAGAGAAAAAAGATGTTTTTCAGAAAGCAAATAATTAAACAATTCTGCTCCCTTTCATGTCAATCTCATCTGAAGCTGTCATCTGAACTGGGACTTAGTTTGCCGAAAAGATAACCCTATTGATGATCAAAGGGAAAGACTGGTTCCATTAGCCAAGTTGGCTGTACTGTGGCCTTCAAAATAAAGGGAGAAATGTATTTTAGAAGGATCTGAGTAACCCACTTTACTCATAACACTTTGTATTATATTGCTTGTTGTCTGCTTCAACTTACCCTCTATCTGAGTATTTTAGTCGAAGCACTACCAAAGTGGATGACATGTCCAGAGAAAGAGCTGGAGTCACTGAATGGTTGCTGCAAATGCATCTCCTTTTACACTGGAAAGTCGGCTGCGAATTCATGTGAGAACACATTCAAGGGTAGGGTACTTAAATCACAGCAGTCCTTGTATCAGGAGGACTAAGCCCATTCAGTTTGCTCATTCAGGACTGGGCCAGTCTTTAGGGTCAAACATTTTCATTTCTTTTCTCTCTTGAAGTTTTCTGTACTGCCTCTGGCATCTCAATTCAAAACATGTTTCATAAAGTTTGTGATAGAAAGAAACACCTTAAGGGAATTAAAGGTTTGAAATATGAGAAGTCATCTATCATCATTTCTTAATCCTCTAAGAGCTATATAGGAGAATGAGAATGATCTTTAAATCAGTTTCTTGTTAGAGTTTCCCCATTTTCCTCATCAAGTCCCAAAAGAGTAGGCAAATGTATTACCAGAAAAAAAACCCAATAAGCTAATACAAATGCCTTTAAAATATTCTTTTCTTCATTCTAAATCACCCAAATTCTATTATCAGGGTTAAAATTTAGCACCCAATGACACAATTTACTTCAAACTGTAATAACAAACGAGCATGCATAGTGTTGAAAATAAAGGAGCATGAATTGCTACCACTATATACGGTTCATTACTGATGTTAGAGATTGTAAGACCCTTTCAAACTTTATTTTTAGGTATAGTTGTGAACCTGTAAACATTCCCCAAAACTACCTCATGCTGGAACTAACTTTTTGTATGGTTTTCTTAAAATGCTGAATCATTTGTATTTTGTTTGAAAATACTGTTCATGAAGCCAAATTGATTTGTATTCTTCTAGCTCTCATTTATAATGCAATGAGA